AGGTCGCCAAGAAAGCACGTAACCCGGCTCCCGGCGGCCTGACAAGCGGGCACGCGGTGGGGGTGCAGACACTTTGTCCTCCAGAGACAAAGGGTACCCGGATACCCACTGGGGACGCCGCCAAGGCGGGACTGAGAGGCGCTTCTCATGATCTCCTGGCTTGGCAGTTTTATTTCATCTCACACTGGAGCTCACTTGGCGCTGTAATAAACAAGCATCAAGCCAGGCCCGATGGCGCCCCCTGCACCCCAGCACTCCGGAAAGCTGAGGCAGGAGGATCGTTTGCCAGGCTGGGCAAATTAGCAACTTAAGACTGTGTCTCACGTATGCACGCGCACGCACACATGCACACACATGCGCACACACACGCATGCATATACATACTAAAAAAGTACAAGACTGGGGATGGAGCTCAGTGAGATGGCCTTGGGTTCCAGTCCCCAGCAGCAGGGGTGTGTGACCGTCACCAATCTGAAGAAGGACGAGAGACTTGGTGATTTCTCCACAGCATCAGCCGGAGAGCCACTGCCACTTGGTTCATAAGTGGCCAGCACCAGACAGCAAGCCGCTGGGGAACTCCTCTCTGGAAGTCCCCCAGGATGGGGCAAATGGCTTAGGACAATCCTGCAGGGACCTGGGGACAGAGCTCCAGGGCTTCAACCAAATCTGAGGGCCCCAGACGGGAAGAGATGGGGGCTCTGTGCTCTGCTGCTGGGCTCTGTCGGGCCTTAGGGCCAGCAGGGGACCCGCCACCCCACCCTGTGACTGCGTCTCCACAGCTCGCTCACTGGTGAGGATGGTCTTCCCACGGGGTCCCCGGCTGCAGGAGCCCTTCCCCGGGAAAGCAGCGGGAGTCTGGGTTGGCACAGGTCTCTGTGGGGCGGGGACCAGGACAGCGACCAAGCCGGTCCTCGGGATTTGGGGCCCAGCCCTGGGGGTTTCACGGGGAGGTCAGCGCCCTCTCCTGCCTGTCCCCGTCTCCTTTCAAACACTTGCTGCGGACACTGCTGGATGCCATTAGCTTCTTGAGCGAGTGGGTACAGGTGCGTGATGTTGGTCACAGGTGGCATTGCTTGGGGACCGAGTTGCTGGCCCCACTCGTGCACCTGCATGCTGGCCTCCGTGTGTGGTCCTGAGCCACCTCTGGTGCCTTTCTCAGGTCTCAGGAGGCTCGAGGTGTCAGCCTGCCTGTACTTTTGCAATTACTTCTCTGTGTGCGTCCCAAGACTGCTCCCTGCCGTGAGTGGCCCTTGGGAGGCTGAGGCAGGACAATCCAGGAGTTCAGGGCCAGCCCAGCCTCCACAGCCAGGCCTGTCTCAAAGAACCAAAATAGAACATCCCCTTCACTTCCCTGTGACCGAAGTCAACTAACCTTTCCATTTTCTGGCTCCCCTTCCGTGACTCTGCATGTGCTCACAAGGCTCACACAGACACATGGAACACACATGTGCAGAGTGTGCATATTTGTGTAGTTTTCCTCCATCACTTCCTCCCCGGGGCTAGGGGTGGACATGGGGCCCTGCACACAGGCCGGGCTCAGCTCCACCCCTGCGCCACCCCTGCCTGCCCCTGCAGGACGCATGTGGCACCCGGATCCACCCCAGCTGCCTGTGCTCAAGAACAGATCTGCAGACCGTCTCACTGTGAAGGGTAGAGGACCCTCAGGGTCTCTGCTCTTCTCCTGCAGCTCCTGGAGAAACAGTTCACTCAGCTGACCCCCTGTCAAAGGACAGTGCTGGCTCTGGGCTTTTGCCCTCACAGCGAAGCGGCCAGGACACTTGCAAATCGGGCACCCGCGTTGATCACCTTAGGAGGAACACACAGCCAGCGAAGTGGACCCGTCCACCCACACTCCTGACCCGAGGGGCCCCTGAGGAGAGGGCCCCTGTGTGCCACGTGGCCCCTCTGAGATGGGGCTGCAGCTTCTGGGGCCCTCGGCCCAGTATAGCACAGGCAGGAGGATCCGGAGCCACCCGCAGAGTGGTGGCCAGGAGACGCCCCGTGTCCAGCTCTTGGAGCACTTGCTGATGTCAGCTCTCACTGGGTTTCCTCCATGTGTGTTTGTCTGAGACAGAGTCTCTCAATGTAGTTCCATTGGCCTAGAGCTCACTGGATAGCCCAGGCTGGTCTCAAACTCACAGCAATCCTCCTGCCTCAGCCTCCAAAGTGCTGGGATTACAGGTGTGCACCAGCACGCCTGGCTGATCTTCTAAGTACGGTTCTTAAATAAAATTCTCTTTGACAGCTCACAGACCTCCCTTTTCTTCTTTACAAGAGTGAGTTTAATCTCTGGAAAGTATCAGGCAAACAATGGTGATGATCTTTCTTTCACCAAAGGCCCAGGCAGACAGCAGCTGTGCCCTGGGCGAGGGGACCGGCTATGTGTGTGGCAGGGCAGTGACCCTGGAGGTCTGGGCGGTGGCCCAGCAGGGGAAAATCTCACGGCAAGTCTCCCACAAACAGCCAGGAGTCAGCGGTGACACATCCACCGCTGATCCACCTCCGGCCCTACTGCTCACTCCCGAGGCCCCTTGAGCCACGAGGGAGCAGGCTCTGACCCCGCTGGCCCCTGGCTGGCCGCTGGCCTTTGCTCCCACCTGCCACACCCCTGCTTTCCCCTTCTTCACGGCACTGGGGTGGAACCAGGGCCTTTGCACTGCACTGAGCCAGGGACCCAGCCTTTAAACATTGTTTTAATTTTGATCTTGCTGGGTCACTAAGTTGCCCGGGCAGCCTTGAACTTTTGATCCTCCTGACTCAGCTTCCTAGAGTGCTTGTTGACAGGTGTGTGCCCTCAGCCACCAAGGACAGCTTTTCCTTCCCTTTTACTATTATTTATTATGATTTTGTCTCGCTACGCAGTTCAGGCTGGGCTTCAGCTCACTCTGTAGTCCAGGTTGGTCTCAAACTCGCAACGACCCTCCTGCCTCGGCCTCCTGAGTGCTGGGATTACAGAAGTGTGCCACCAAACGTGGCTTCCTTTCTCTTTAGCAACAAGCCCTGCCCACCCCACCCCGAGCCACTGCCCCATCGCTGTGGCAGTGTAGGGTCCTGACTGGCCCCAACCCTGATCCCGCTAGCTGTATGCCTGGTGCAGACAAGAAACAGGTTTGCTTTTCCAATTATTATTGTGGCTTAAAAAAAAAAAACAAAACACCAAGGACAGCAAAACACACAGCCTAGAAACTTAGCCTCTACTGTTCCAACTGCACCTGGGTTGTGCAGGGTCCTGACCCCTCCCAGGCCCCAGCCTGGGAAGCAGCGTGCAGCTCCCTCTCTGGTCTGCTCTCCAGTCCCCCACACCACTTTGGAAGGCATCTCCAGTTTAGCTTTCTTGTGTCCTTGGGCGGGCACACGACGCCTCTGCCCCCCACCCCCACTTCTGGTCCTCCCTGGAACTGGGCCGGGTGCGTCCTGGACAGCACGGCAGGGCCTCAATGTGGGGGTGGAGCCCAGGGGCGCTGAGATCCATCCCTGGCCCTTTCCAATGCTGTTTGCTCTTTGAAGTCAAGGATCTCGGCTAAATTGCTGGGCTCTCCTGCTTGGGATCCTCCTGCCTCAGCCTTCCCGGTCCCTGGGGTTTCGGGTGAGCCTCGTCTAGATTTGCACACTCCTGGGCCCCCAGGGATGTGATATAAGCCCCTTGGCACTCTTTTGTCCCCAGGAAGGGGCAGAGACCTTGAGGCCTCCAGTGTCTGCGAAGCTGTCTCTAATCACTCCTGCGTCCTCAGGGCCTTTGCACGTGCTGCTCCCAGGTGCTTGGCCGCCCATTCCCTAGACGCCTTTCCTGGTCATGCAGGGTTAAGCACCCACCCACTTGCAGACCTCACTGCTCACACCATACACGCATCACCCACCACACCCACCTTACCCGCCTCCTCAGCCTTGGCGCATGCTCCCCAGGCAAGCGCCATGGCCCGGAGCTGCCCCTGCAGGAAACAGCTCCGAGGTGTGGCCTGGAGCCCTATGATGGGCTCAGCCTGCCCCCTGCCGGCCACCCCTGAGGAAGGAAGGAAATCAACATTTGCTCCATCTGACACATCCCAGCCTCACTGCCCCTGTCTGTGGGACCCAGGGACAAAGAGCAGGTTAGGGAAAGGGAGGTGGCACCCAGGGCCCGACAGACCCACACAGCAGCTCCGAGTCTGAACTGTGACACTGCATGGAAAGCTAAGCCCAGTGCAAAGGACCTGGGGCAGCAGTGAGCCCCAGGTAGCCTCAGAGGCTGCAGGAAATGGGAGTCCACAGGGTCCTCCGCACCTGGCAAACGCATTTGGAGTCATCTCTGTGGTGGGCGGGAAACGAGGAGGGCTCAGCTCCACGCGTGATACCCTCAGGCTGGCCTTAGTTTTGTCTGAGACAGGGTCTCGCTGTGCAGTACAGGCTGGCCTTGGGCTCACTGTGTAGCCCAGGCTGGCCTGGAACTTGCGGTGGTCCTCCTGCCTTGGCTTCCTGAGTGCTGGGATGACAGGTGTGTGGGCTAGAAGGTCCTTAATCGCGTCGCCTAGGAGCACTCAGGTTTCCTGTCTATAGCTGGTGCTGGCCTGTCACCACGCTGAGGATCCCGAGGTTTCAATGACTGTGGCCCCTCCGGTGCGGTGTCTCCCCAAGAGCTGAGGATGGGGTCCATGGCCACGCCTGTCTGCAGTGTCCTCCGGGTGGCAGGTGGTGACCTGGGCCTGATGTCCCTTAGGGCGCTGACAGGGCCCTCTCCCCTCTCCCCTCCTGCCGAGCATGCTACGGGCTCTGCCTTAGGACACGGTGTCTCCCAGGCTGTGGCTCAGTCCTCAGGGCCGCCAGGGGGCAGCTCGTCCTGTGCTGCTGTCACTTCCAGCTCCAGGCAAGGCTGCAGTGGCAGGAGCACCTGGAGGGTCACCAGTGAGCTTCCCGTGAAGGCCCAGCGGTGCCTGGACGCCACCCTGGTTTCTGACCCATTTGTTCACCCCCGGTGCAGTGGCCCAGAGGAGCCACAGGGCAGGGGTGTGCCATGGACACTGAACTTTGAATTTCAAGCCTCTTTTATTTATTTTTTTTCAGTCACTTAAAAATCACCATTAATTCACTGGCCATACCATATGGACAAATGGGTCGGATTCTGTCCATGAGCTGATGTTTGCCAAGCATCGGCCTCAGTGTCTACTGGTAAAATGGAAAAACACTGGACACTGCACCTGTACTCAGATCACAAATTTGTACACACATGTGCACACACACAGGCACACACGTACCCATTTAAAAAATCTCCATTCAGCCAGGCAGGGTGACGCACACACCTGTAATCCCAGCCTTAGGGAGGCTGAGGCAGGAGGACTGCTGTGAGCTGGAGTGCAGCCTGGGCTACCTAGTGAGACCTTCTCTTAGACATAAAGTGTGGAGACGAGACAGGCAGCTTCCATCTTGCCTTAGCTCGAACCCCAGGAATGAGCTGGGAAGCAGCAGGCAGAGCTCCGGACACCTGCGGACACTCGGGGTGCAGTTTCACGCCCCTAAGTGCATTAGTAGTATATGCAGCCGCCCTAACAAGCCAGGAGAGCTCACTGAATAATCTGGGAATCCCTGCATAGCTCATCTCCATCCCAAATCCCTAGACACAAAGTGCGAGGCTGTTTTCTTAGTCCAGCTGTAGACATGAGCCAGTTGCCTAAAAGAAACAGTTATTAAGTGGAATTCATAGGATGGGATAAATAAAGCCACTTTTCTGGTGGCAAGAACACTTTTCCCTATCTCTTCATTTTTAAAATTTCATTTATTTATTGAGACAGGGGCTTGCTGTGTAGCCCAGGCTGGCCTCCAACTCACAGCAGTCCTCCTGCCTCAGCCTCCTGAGTGCTGGGATGATGGCTTGTGCCCTCTTGCCTGGCTAGTTTTAAGACAGAGCCCACTATGTAGCCCAGGCTGGCCTGGAACTCAGTGCTCCTCCTGGATCTGCCTCTCTCCCCGGTGCCTGGATTGCAGGCCTGCACCACCACGCCTGGCGCATTGTTTTGTAAAGCTGTCCTTTGTCACGACTAGGAATCTGTTCCCTATGCTGCACAAATCAGATGCTGAACAGGAGAAACCAGCAGTGTTTACGTGCATCTCTCCTCCAGGTTCCACAGCCCTGCCACACCATCACATCACGGTCTGGACTGTCACTGCCCCTGGCCACCATCAGCCCCCTTTCCCCTCAGCTCTGAACACAGGTGAGGCGGGACAGATCCACGGGTGCCTGCGCCGTGCCTCGGGCTTGGCTCATCCCTCTGCTGTGCAGGGGCAGGGAGAGACCTGGTGCTGGACTCGTCCTTCAGAATAGCTTTATTCGTCTGGGTGCTGCCTGCCAGCGCCCAGCCTCTCTCCCACGCCGACACCCACCCCTTCACTCAGCAGTCGACCCCCACACTTCATATATCGTAACACAGCTCTGCGAGTCCGCAGGGAAGTCCGAGCTGAACAGCCGGAGGTTACTGCCAGTGATCACGGCTGCCTTGAGCTCCCGCACTTTGGACAGGAACTGCACCAGGTCCTTCTCCAGGTGGGTCAGGGTCAGGAACGTGTAGTCCTTGCCCGGGCAGTCATGCTGGTTCTTCCTAATTGGAGAGCGTGACGGAGCGATCCGGAGGGCGGTGGGGCTCTGCTCCTGCTGAGACACTCAGGTGAGCAAGGCGGGGAGATAGAGGGGTCCCCCAAAGCTCTTATCACTGCTTCTGTCCCCAGACTGGCAAACTGGCCAAACCTGGTCCACGTCAAGTTTTACTGGGACACAGCTGCACTCCCTTGTGACACTGGCACCCTGGCTGTGGAGCAGAGTGGTCACCATGCAGACCATCAGACCCACCACGTGGGCCATCAGACCCGCCACACTGGCCATCAGACCCACCAGGAGGCCATCAGACCCACCACACTGGCTATCAGACTCGCCACACAAGCCATCAGACCCACCACGCAGGCTGGATTTACAGCATGGCCCTTCAGAGGCCAAGTGTGCCAGTGTCACTCTGGCCAGCGTCACCAAGTCCGAGCTCTGAGGACAGCGCCGTCTCTCCCCTTCCCTTCCACCCTAAGAGCTGCAGAGCTGCTGGCCCACAATGCCTCCTTGCACCGCTGTCTCTCCGGCACAGGGCTTTTTTATTTTTTGTCTAGGTACCAGGGATCGAACTCACAATCGCACACTTGCAAGGCAGGCACTTATGCTGCTGAGCTAAATCCCCAGCACACCCAACCCCCGCTTTTTTTAATTTTGGAGACATATATAAAATTTCTGTGACACTCAGTAATCTTTATGCAACCAGTGAGATTTTACAGACCAGGGACAGCCACATGGCCCCATGAACAGTGTGCCCCGATCTTCCCTGTTTAGACATTGACCTGGCAGGCAGGATGTGAACTCAGCATCCTGTCCTGGGGCCTGTGCTCTGAAGCCTTAGTGTTTCTGTTTTCTTTGGTAGCAGGGACTGAACTCACAACCCGCGCTGGCCAGGCAGGTGCTGGTGCTGCTGAGCTAAACCCCCAGCCCCAGGCTTGTATTTCTTCAGGTGAAGGCACTAAATTTAAACCCCAGCACCAGAAACGGAGAGGGCCCTCACCTTGGCCTTGGCCTTGGCGCTGTGGAGCCGGAACTTGAGGACCACGTACAGCGTGATGATGAAGAGCAGCCCGAGCCATTTGCTGGCCAGCCAGCCCTGTGCATGCGCCGGCAGGTTGGGCCTGACGCGGGAGTGCGCCCCGCAGGGCACCTTCTCCAGCGGCTCCTTGGCTTTCTCCCTCGAGGAGAACACAAAGGCCTCCCCGTGGGCCAGGCACAGAGTCAGCAAGAGCAGCCCACTCAGCACCCGCATGGTGAGCAGTGAGCGTGCATGGTGGCTCTGTCCCCCGCCGGGCTCCAGCCGCTGGTGATGTCATAGAGCCCTGCCCGGGTGGCCGTGGCCATTGTGACGCCTCGGAGTGGGCTGGCCCTGAGGGCAGGCGAGCGATGCCCAGCAGGCAATCAGGCGGGAAGAGGGGGCCAGGCTGGCTGCCAGCTCCTTCTCCCTCCCAGGGTGGGGGACAGGAGGCAGGGGATCCCGTGAGGCTGCGTCTTTCCAGACAGCACCAGCTACTGCCACCAACTTGAGGCCCACAGTTATTCTGCAAAGCCTGCACCGACCCCCCAAATCGTGACCCACCACCATCAACGTGTTGGGGACTTTGTTTAAAAACTTCAGTGTGAGCTCCCTTTGAAGACACAGATGTCCTGGAAGCACGGGGCTTCCCCGTCTATCCTCAGGTCTCCGACCTCACCACAGTGGCTGGCTGTCCTCAGGGGTATCCAGAGAAGCTGGCTGAGGAGCACCTCTACCAAGGTAAGAGGATGGGGGGTTTTGTGCCCAGGAATTTTAAGAGGGTGAGGATTTAGCCCCAGTGCGGCTCGTGAAAGTCCACAGTGACAAGGCAGAGCCTAAGCAAACAGCACCAGAGGCTGCCCCCAGTTAGGCTCCAGGAGGACCTTGGAGAGGGAGGTGGGTTGGGACTGAGACCTGGAGGTGACAGCCAGGGGCCTCCAAGGCCCCCGCGTGCAGACACACCCTGTGCAAACTGCTGAGCCTCAAATCGGGGATTAACCTGGATTTCAAAGAGTGTGAAAAGGCCGCTCCAGAAATCACAGAACCAGACCTCTGGGCACAGGGTTCATCCCTGTCTCCTGGGCCCGGGGCAGTGGCCTCCTACAGACAGTTCAGTGATGCTCGTGTCACTGTGCCTCTACTTGCTTGGGGCTTTGGGCAGCAATAAAGAGGTTCTGGGGGGACCTAACGGGGGAGGCAGGGAGCACCGGGAAGGTCCGGGGCCACATCCTGCATGGAGGGATACTCGCTTGGAAACCCAGGGCAGTGGACAGTGATACTCGCTATCCTGGGGACCTTCGCCCTCTGCCCCACTTCTTCTGGGCCCCTGATGCCACCGAGGCCTGGCCCTTGGGAGATGGGGCATGTCCCCCCAGCTTCCACTGATGCACCTGGGCACGGGTGGGTGGGTCAGACACAGGGCTGCAGGTGTGGCTGTTGGAACTGGTGGATCTGGGGTCCTGGCACCCACCAGGGAAGGGTGACAGCCACTATCAAACTTAGGTGCGAAGCTGAAAATCCCATGAACCAAGGCTACAGATCCCTGCTGAGGGCAGCTGAGAGCCAGGCCAGCCCTGAGCCTCCACCAGCCACCGCCTTGTCCAGACCCGGTACAGCCTGCACAAGCAGCAGCACAGTGCTCGATCACAGGGCGACGCCTCTGCTACCCAGCAGAGGCTGAAAACAGTCCTGCCCTTCCCGGAAGACCCCGTGGGCACCGGTCTGGGAGGCCGCAGAGGCACACAGGGCTCTGCAGACCCAGAGGCTGGGAGTGGAGCCCTTGTGCTTCGAGGCTGGGGACACTGATCCGGTCTGTGGGGAGAATTGGATGTGTTCAGATTGGTCAGCGAAGCATGGCCCGCATTCCAGGCTGAAGCAGGATGGTCGCGGTCCCCAGGTGTTTGAGGCTGGTCTGGGCTACACAGTGAGACCCTGTCTTAACCAAAATCCAAAACCAAAACCACCCCCAAATCAGTGCAAAACTGATCTGTTAAAATAAGGAAAATAAAAAATTAGCAAAATAGTCATCAAAATAAAAATGTGATGGCAAAAACCGTGACCAGCAGTGTCTGATGAAAAGGAGATCTCCCTTTGGAATGAAAACACAGTAGGGTTACGCTAACAATTTAGCCAAATAAAACCCCTCAGGAATGATGGGGCTGCCCAGAACACTGGTGAGGGGCATCAGGCGGCCACTTCCGGCTCATCCTGGAAAGGTCCTCAGGGCCTCCCTGGCAGGAATGACCAACAACGCTGTCCCAGTCACCAGGAGGACACCCTTGTACCTCCCTAGCGGCCTCGGGGAGGTTGAGATGCTGGGGGGCTGCCATGCATTAACAACACACAGGGTGCGGGTCCCACGCTCCATCCTTCTGATGAGGAGAGAGGTGGAATCCCTGACTTCATGGAATCCTTGCTGTCACCGTCTCTGCAATGCTGCAATTTTGAGACAGGGTCTCACTAGGTAGCCCAGCCTGGCCCCAAGCACAGCAATCCTCCTGCCTCAGCCTCCCAAGTGCTGGGATGACAGGTGTGCACCATTCCCTCGCTCACAGCAGGTCTGCTGCTTTCTTAGTAGAACGGCTTGTGCAGGGAGAGGAAGAAGGTGCCAGGGTGAAGGAAAAGACAGCCGGCTTTATTTTGCATCACATTATCGGGTGCTTAGCTACTCTCTACATCCAGAATAGGAGCAGACCCTCCCCCAGGCGTGGACAGCAGCCCTAGCTGCTCCCAGGGCTGGGCAGCCAGACGTCCCCCAGGGGCTGCTGTCCGAAGCTCCTCTCTAAGGTTGCTTCTCTGGCCTCCTGAGATGACTGCTGGCAGCAAGTCCACCTGACTTTAGCCTGAAGGCTCGGCCTAGGGTCTTTCCTCACCTTGAGCAGAAAGCACGGCCTGCCCCGTGGCCACAAGCTGCCCCCCCCCAACAGCTCCCCCCGAGTGATCACAGGGGCGCGGAGCCAGGCAGGAGGACTTTATAACAGCGGGAGGCTCAGAAGCAGTAGGACGTGTGGGTGACCCAGTGCGCTGACTCTTCTTTGGAGCGCTTGGCAGAGCTGTGCGTGGTGAACAGCGACTTGTAGGTTTCGGACTCCTCGCTGTCCGCGATGGACCTCTTCAGGGGCCCGCCCGGGGCCTTCCCCGCCTTCCCGGAAGAAGTGCCGCTGGCTGCTGCTGCTGGGAAACACAAAGCTGGACACCTGTCACCCTGAGCACGTCTCCCCGCGGGCCTAGGGATGGACGCTGCACCCCGCGCCACTCATCTGCACCCGGGCGTGGGTCCGGCTGGTGACCCTGCTCACTACTCCAGGGGCTGTAGGGCACTGTCCCAGGCCTGCATGGGGAGTGGGCTTCCCACCCTGCAGGAGACCCACCTGCACCGCGGGGAGCCGGGGCGCCTTTCTTCTCTCGGGGCTCCAGCCCTGCGTCCTCGGCCTTGCCGCTCTTGACCCTGGACGGCCCCGGCAGGTCTGCGGAACACAAGACAGCATTGCAGCGGCCAAGGCAAACCAGGGCTCTGGGGGGGTGCGGCAGGGCTCTGGGGGGTGCGGCAGGGCTCTGGGGGGGTGCGGCAGGGCTCTGGGGGGGTGCGGCAGGACTCTGGGGGGTGCGGCCCCAGCCCGCCTCCTCCCGCTCTCACCTTCACTGCCATCCACTTTCGAAAGTGCCTCAGCCGCCTTGGGCTTCTTTGTTTTCTGGAAGAAGCAAGCAGCTGCTGGGGCGGTTGGCCCGTGCTGCCCCCCTGCAGGCTCATCTGCAGGCCCCTCCGCCTTCTGTGTCTGCACCCCCAGCTCGCACCCTTCCCACCTCAGCGAGCCGCCTGGCTGACAGAAGTCAGTGTTAGCCGCGACCAACACCACTGTGCAGCAGCCCGGCGAAAAGCTCAACTCTGCTGGCTGTGGGAGTCGGGCTGCGGGCTGCGGAAGGGTGGTGAGTCTCACCCTCCTCGGACCTCGGACCTGTCAAGCTGCTTTGATACTTACTTACCTAACTAAAGGCCTGAGACTCATTCTAAAGAACACATTTGAGTCACCCTCCTAAAATATGGCTGAGTCTTGTTAGATTTTTAGGCACTACAGTTTTGTTTTCTGTAACAGTCATTTTGGTCAGGAAGAAGGTGAAAATGCATCAGCCACTCGAAAGTTACACAGCTGTGTCTGCACAATTTGAGTGCAGAAGCCACCACCAGGCCAATGATCATTTAAATTACCATGAAGTGTTATTCTCTGAAGTATCTGAAGGGGGCACTGCTGACCTGGGCGCAGACACTTGAAGGGCTGGGTCCCTGAGAAAGCTAACAGGACCTCTGTCCGCTCTGGCCTTGAGCTTGTAAGTAACACTTGTGCAATGTGACCCACAGGACCGCTCCCTTCATGCATGTAACCATGCATGCATACGAAATCTATGGAGGTCACACACAAACATCGGAGACAACAACCGCAAGCCCTCCACTTAGCACTGGGTTCTGTGGAAAACACCAGCTTGCTCCCAGCTCCCAGCGGCGGGTGTATTTGGGAAATATTTTGTATCCTGGCAGCAGTATCTAGGAGGGCTGCGGGTGCTCCTGTGGGTGTCTTGCAGAGGGGCAGGTGAGCTCCACTGGGCTTTGGACAACTTGGCACGAAGCCCGAGACACAGAAATTCACTCTAATAAGATGGTTAGGAAACCTATGCCTCTAGGGGCTTCCTTTTAAACACCATTCCTCCCTTTTGTGTGCGTGCTTCTAAAACTACTCAAGGGCAGCGATAGGGAGCCAACGGACCCCTTGGGAGAGGTCCTTGGTCACAGACAGCTCTGGCTTTGTCCTTTTCTGTTCTGATCTTGGTATCAGACTAATTTAGAAGATCAACTGAGAACTTAAGCACACTTACACTGCCTTTAACCCTGAATGAACACGTGACGATGACTCCACAGCCTCTCACACTGTAACGCCGTATTAGCATGAGTAGCACTGAGTAGCTGCGCTTGATCACAAAATCCGGACCCAACTCTGCACGCATCACTCTGTACTTAAGTAAAGGAGGAAGAGCCATTGATCGGACTCTTCTTGGCAACTCTGAGTCCAGGCCTAACAGCAATGTTACCATGGGCTCAATCAGCAGCTGTTTTAAATCTAACCACCACCGATTATGTATTATTCAAAGGTAATATGGGTCCCACAAATTCTTCTGTGACTAAGGAAACAGAGCAAAATACAATGCTCTGAAAAGGTGCCGGGTGTGGTAGTGTACATCTGTAATCCCAGCACTTGGGAGGCTGAGGCAGGAGGATCATAGCGAGTTTAAAGTCAGCTTCAAGACCCTGTCTCAAAATCAAAACCAAAAATAAAATCCCCCACCAACCTCTGGAAAAAACCTACACTACTGCATCATTCTGTCCTAGAAAACTAGTGGCTACAGACTTTTTGTGTGTGTTTTTGAGACAGGGTCTCGCCATGTAGTTCAGGCAGGCCTTGAGCTCACTTTGTAGCCCAGGCTGGTCTCAAACTCCCAAAGATCCTCCTGCCTCAGCCTCCTGAGTGCTGGGTTTATAGGCTGTGCCACCATTCTGGACTTCAGATGCAGACATTTTAAGGCCATTTCCCCCTCAAAAGTTTATCTCTTCAGGGCACTGACACTGAGTTCTCACAGCATTTGTGTGCTTTAGTTCTGATCACATTAAATTTTTTGCCATTTAACCTAAGTCTATTCTACTAAAAAAAACACACCACCACTCACAAGAGGTCTGCACTACCCAGCTGACATCTGCTCCTACTTAACAAATTATGAAATCATAAAACGTCCTGGGGGACCCAGAATCGACAGCTTTTTCTGTGACACTGAGGCTCAAACCCAGGACTTCAGAACACTAAGCCGGCGCTCCTCCCCGGGCTACACCCCAGCCTTGAGTGCTGCAGCCCAGCAGCTCAGCCAGGCTCCTGTCATGGGACTGCTGAGCCAGTGAGCAGGGCTCAGGAAGGTGCAGCAGCTGCACTCCTGCGGGGCAGCTGCCCAGGCCTGCCCTTCTAAGAGCTGCACCCCTGCTCTGGGGAAGAAGTGTGGGCTCCCACGGCTCGACTGCAGGGTACCCCTGTTCACACTGACATGCGGTGACCGGGGTAACGGTGACTTTCCACTGTCCTTGTTTCTTTTGAAGTCAGTGATAGCAACGGCGTGGTCGCAGCCCCAGGGTGCACCGGGCTCTATGCTGCCCCCTTCCTGCACCCGCGTTCGGGCAGGCACTGTCCCTCCGCCTCACTGCCTGCAGAGCCGGCTGTCAACGAGGCCCCGCTCCGTTACCTTCTCTTGCTTGGCCCTCAGCCGCCTCTCATCCATCCGCTTCCTCAGCACCTCCACGTCCTCCTTGGTGCCATTTAGCACGACGATGTCCTCCTCTTGGAAGGTGGCGCCGCACTGGAGGGCAGAGAGTGCCAGAGTCTGTCACCCGGGGAGGGCAGCCACCGAGACCCCGCTATCACCCCTGGCATCACAGCTTGGCCAGCTCTGGGGTCAAAGTCTTGGTTTGGGAAGCCCATGTGGCCAGGAAGGTGCCAGCCTCGTGCCCAAGGGTGCCGCCCTGCAGGGCCTGCTGGCCATGCCAGCCCCCCGATTCAGGAAGGGCTCCTACCCCCTCCTAACCGAGGTGGTGGACACTCAGGACTCAGGCTCAGCACAGCGTGGTTTGTGAGCAGCCGCTTCCCTTCTGTGCATTCTATATGTGCTCAGCTGAGGGTAAGTAACCGCGCCCAGCAAAGCCCTGGGCACCGCCGGGCCGCCCTCTGCACTGGGCTGCGTTCGCTCCGGGCCCCCGAAGGGAATCAGGGCACGAGGAAGAGCGAGGTGGATTCTTCCAGACTCTGCAGCCTGTGTCTCCTACTCCACCCTGCCAGGGTAGGGTTGGGGGGGACCTAAGCCAGAGAACAACCGCAGCCTAGAGCCTACCAATCCCACTAAGTTCTGCCCAGGAAAGGAGCTCGCGCTCTCGGGAAGCCCTGCTGGGCCTGCAGCCCCAACCCGTGAGCTTGTTCTGCCACCTCTGCCCCTCAGCCTGAGTGGTCTGGTGCCCTGGCACAGTGTTGCCCACACTCTGCAGCGCCTGCCCCTGGGACCCTGTGCAGCAGGGCTGGGGCAGGAGGAGGAGCAAGTGACGGGGGTGGGGTGCAGGGCCCACTCCTACGGCTGGGCTGAGGCTTGTGACTCACATGGAGCTTGTGACTGTGCGCACTGGCCTCGGATTCGTCAGCTATAAAGAGCCCGAGCCCAGAGCAGCCGTCCGCAGCTGCGGGCAGCTCTGCTCCCGGCCACACTGCCTGCCGCCTGCCAACAATTCTGCACCTGGTGGTACCTGCTGGAGGCCCCAGCACCACCCTTGCTGAGGCTGAGAAACCCTGAGCACGTCAGAGCGAGACAGTGCTGTAAAAGAACAGCGAGGAGACCCACTTGCTGGGCGGACCAGCCCTGTCATGGAAAGCAAGAAAAAGGCACGAGCCACACAGTGGCACTGTTTACCACGAAGCATGACAAAGTCAACACACAAAAGGACACGCCAGGGGCCGAGAGGAACCATCCAGCACACACAACGCAGGTCAGTCAACCCCCGCACACCCGCCCAGCCACGCCTCCCAAAGGGCCAGCGCTCGGGGCAGGACACGCAGCTCCTGGTCACTTGGCTGCTCAAATCGCTGTGGGAGTGCTCAAGGTGTCGCAGGGTGGAGCTCACACTGGGCCCGCGCCTCCCTGGAAGACGGGAAACGGGAGAGCAGCAGTGATGGGACAGCACAGCAGGAGGCCGGAGCACAGGGCGCTGACCAGCTCGCACAGCCCGGCTCTCGCCAAGCATGCAACTCGGCGTGCGGGACAGAAAGGCAGCTTCACTGGCCTGTAGCAATCACCCCGCCGCACAGGAGCACCTGGAAGTACTGCCCTGGCATCCTGCACATGGGGAACCAGAGAAGCCAGCGCGGCCTCCCAGCAGCGATGCAGTCTAGAGCTCTCCCCCACCCGGTGCCCGGCAGAGGCAGGGAAGGCCCTCAGTCCCCCTGTCCCCTCATCAGGAGCCGGGCCTCAGTCCCCGTGGGCTCTGCGCCCTCACCGAGCTGGTAAGGGTACCCAAAACAGACAGGGGAGAGGGGCGACACCGTCAGCACTTGGATCTACCCAACTCTCCCGCCCCCCTCGCCTGTCTCTGTGGCTTTCCAAGCTTTGGGAGCACCGTCCAGGTTTTAACTAGTGCCTCCTACCTGCAGTGCCCTGTCGGGGGCCTGAGAGCCTAAGTCACAGCCTACCGCGGGGCTCACAGCCCAGGGTGTGAAGTCAGCGGTGCGCGTTTCAGAGCGCTGCGCTTCCACCCAACGTCGGAGCCAGAAGCAACGTCCTAGCCAGAAGCGGGGCTGGCCCTGAGCCGCAGCTCCCCACCGCTGTGCGTCCTGCAGGCTTGCCTGTCCCCTTATTTCCCCCAGGTGGGGCCGCACACAGGGGTGGAGCACGGTCAGTGAAGCCTTCAGGGCTCGCCACCCGCAGCAGCACGCATCACAGCCACACGCCTTCAGAGCCCGGAAGGAACAGCTATCCCTAGCAGCTTGCATGCCGCTGGGCACTGCACTCTCTGACCACCCTGGACAACGCGCCAGAGGACAGGCAGACTTCGGGGGGCTGCAGAGGAAATGCCTCCCCTAGCAGTGGGTAGGAGTGGTGCCCTGATGGGTGTTTTCCTGGGCCAATCGGTGTATCCTCTCTGGAGAAACTCTACATAAATCCTTTGCAAGCTCTTGTGTTGTTTCTTTAATGTCAGGCTTTAATAAAGAGCTCTTTATTATACATTCTGGACGCGAGCTTCTATCTCACTGCTGTAATGAATACCGTACTGGATAATTTATGAGCAACTAAAATTCACTGCTTGCACTCCTGAAGGCTGAAAAACCCACGGCCATGGTGCCAGTGGGCCTGGGGACCGGCGGGGCCCAGTCCTCGCAGACAGAGGTCTCTGCGGGTCCACACAGGGTAGAAGAGGCACGGGCCCCTCTCCACACAGGGCGCGCCCCCACCTCCCATCACTTCCCAAGGCCTGGCCGCGGAGCCGCGTGCTGGAGATGGGGTTCAGCCTACCCAGGGGAGAGCACAGCTTTCCGACCTTGGTGAGCTCCTCCCAGGACCTGTGACTCATAGTGGCCTTTCCCTTCTGTGACTGCCCGTTCACATTCTGATGACATCTTCTGCAGCACAAGTGTCTGATGCTCACGATACCCGACATACCACCTTCCTCTCCGACCTCTATGCTGCCGCCACATCTGCAGTCGCCCAGCCCAAGACCTTGGAGACTCACTCCTGGGAGTCCATAGCTCCAGCGCGCGTGTCCAGGTCTGTGCGTCCACACTTGTTTCTGTGCATGATGTAAGGTGGAGGCCCAATCCAGCCCTCGGTGTGCGGACAGGCAACGCTGCCGGGGGGCTCTCCTTGCCCGAGGTGCCTGCTCAGGAGACCAGCCGCCCCGCCTGAGACGCATTTCCGGCCTCTCCGTTCATTCTACCGCTTGCACCTGCTGCACCTGTCCTTGTGCCACTGCCACGCATCTTGGTTTTTAAAAGCTGCTACTGAATGAACTAGCCTCGTAATGTTGAACTGATAGCTGTAAAAACATTTTAATTAAATACTACAGTCACAGATATCTGAAAACATGCTAAAAGCAAAGTCTGTTGTGAGCCTGGTACAGTGACCAGCCACTTGGGAGGCTGAGGCAGGAGGATCACAAGCAGAGGCCAGCCTCCACCACTTAGGGCCGAGGATCCAGCTCAGGGCTGGGACCTGGGATCACCCTCCAGTACCACCAAATTGGGAGCACTACTAATCAGACCTGCCTCTGCAGCACGGCAGGCAGGCACTCGGTCACCCCCAGGAAGCTTCGTTAGGTAAGTGGAACCGCAACTTTAAAAGGTCCCCTGGCCACAGCACATCCTTTAACGAACTAAAAGCCACGCTGAAGAGCGCTTTCTTTTCTTTTTCTTTTTTGGTACAGGGATTGAACTCACGACCTGGCATTTGCCAAACAGACATTTACGCCGCCGAGCTAAACCTCCGGCCCCAAAGAGCGGTTTCTTAGAGCTGCCAGTTTCTCTGGCGCCTCCAACAGAAGAAGATTGACACCTGCCAGTGGGCTGTGCTGCTCCTGCCCGCTGGCTTACTCACCGGGTTCTCTCCCAAAGTGAACGTGCAGGTCAGGGGCAGCTCAGGCAAAGACCTTTAGGGCTACTGTGCTGTGTTTATGACGGAAGGCTCCTTGGCCTACAGGGCCGAAATCGGTACTGCAGAGCGGTGCCCCGAGGGGTGTGTCAGGAGGGACATCCCGTGGGGCCTGACTCCTGGGGCCCAGGCTGAGGGAGGAGGGCAGCCCGTGCCCCGAGGTCTGGGTGAAGCAGCCCTCGCTGCCAACCCCGGGGAGAGGTCTTTTCCTTGGAGAGGGGACGAAAAGTTGTGTGCAGGAACCACTTGGGGTGGGAAGGCCCAGGGGCCCACACTGTGGCTCCCCCGTAGGTAACCCTGCTGCAGGCAGGGGCTGCAGGCAGAGACAGCGTCAGCTCCGAGCACACCGCCCCTGCCCTCCTCTGGGACTCCTGCTGCCCTCTTTCCTAGGGTCAGGGGTCACACATCCTTGCCTACACACACTTTTGGGGTGTAACCAGCTGGAGCTGATGTACCGCTAGAGCTGAACTGTCCCAAAGTGCCAGGGCCTCTCAGATTAAAAACTGAGCCAATTTGCTCTTTCTCTAAAGCCAAAAGTCCCAGTAACAACTCGGGGCCTCGGCTCCTGGACCCCATTAGAAGCGTCCCCTGTGGACTGGGCACGTGACACTCTGCACTGCCATCATCTGTGCTGACTGACGCCGGCCCAGAGAGTTCAGGTGCAGGGGGCTGTGCTCTCTGGGACCCACTGCACCCCACCAGTGCCCTACCCAGGCGCACTGCATTACCCTACTGCCTGTGTGTTCACCCTAAAATCTGTTTCCTTCATCGCTGGTCACTGAAAGCTTAGATAGTTACTGCCAAGAAATGAAGAAAAGTTAAATAAATCACAGTGTTCATAAAAAGGTTGAGCACAGTTATTTTAGTTTAACTATGTAGAAAATGATTATCATACATTAAAAGTACACTTGCTCTTTTTTTTTTCTGGTACCAGAGATGGAACTCACCACCTTGCGCTTGCCAGGCAGGCACTTATGACACTGAGCTAAATCTCCAGCCCTATTAGATGCTAATTCTTTTTTTTTTTTTTTTAAAGTACTTAAAAAAGCTGCCAGGGAAGCACCAAGGGGGAGGAGAGGACTCGGCCTCAACGTTTCTATCAGCTAAGCACATGGGATGGAGGCTCCCTCCCCAGCAGCTGTCCTTACAGGGGTACGTGCTGTGGACCCGAGTGTGGG